AATAACTAAACTGATTATGTTATAGTTAGAATATTTTCTAGTTAGATTCGAAAAAACAAATCATAAATGAAAAATGTAAATACTTATAATAATATTTATTGTACCAAAATCATAACCCAACTTTTGGTGAATGAATTTTCTTCACATATTTATTTATAATAGCACTAAAATTTAGCATGTCATTTATGACAACGTTTTATTTAACTTTCGAACGGAACTAGGAATCTCTGTGACTCTTCTACGGAACCCTAGGGTTCCGCGGACCACCATTTGAGAACCGAGAGAGCCTTTAGCCTTTGAGAGCCTAAGACTATATAGAATTATATAGCCAAAATTTTTGAAAAAAATGTCGAAGTCAAAAAAAATAGTAGCGTGATTTTGCTCATGCTACTAATCCCTGTTTTATGTTTATCAGATTGTCGAGTTGACATAGAGATTATATTTATAATCTTTTAGAAGAAAATATTAATAAACTTATACGAGAAATTAAAATTATACAAGCAATTTTAAAATAAAACTATTTTTTCGGATTTATTTTGATTTTTGGTTCCCGATGTTTCGAATGTTTTATGGCAATCATGGTCACGGGATAGACTAAGGTTTTAGACGTTTCAAAGGTCATGCTTCTGGTTGGATATTTTTATTTTAAAATGTCAAGTATTCGCGTAAGTCGAAGAAAGTATTAGTTACTTCTCGTCCCTTTGAGGTACTCTCTACTCATACAATATATGATACATTAGCTGTACACCTATGTACGAGTCGCACATTGACTATTTGTTTTACTTCATGTTTAGTTCTATGACACTCCGGCTATACCTTTTATTCATTTAGTATGAGAGTACAGGTATATTTTGTATTGATGCTATCATTTTAATTAACATTAGTTTTGCATTAGCTCTCGCATCTTTATCTAAGGTGTGAGTCAACGGAAAATTTATAAAACTGCTTCGTATGAGACTTCCGATTTCAAGTACCTACCTTCTTCGGAAAACAAGTATTTTCTATCTATACTAATATTATAAAGTGGTAAAGGTTGTGAGATTGTGAGTTTTTGAGTTTGTGGGAAGGACCTAGGATATTTTTTTTCCCGGAAATCACCGTTTGTATTGGGAAGTAAGCTAGGGACGAACCCGAGCGAAGCGAGGGTGAGTCACTAGTGAAAAATAATTTAATTACTGTACAATAAGTGACTAATATACACATTTTTCATAATCGTTTATACATACATACATATAGTAGGTATACATAATATAATTATATCAAATGTTAAGTTAAGAACACAGAAATTGATCTAAACGACTTGAGGTAGAATAAAAAGTTGAATTTGTAATAATTAAATATATCATTATATTTATTTTCAAATCTTAATTCTGGACATTAATCACTACAATTACATTAATGATCACGTTGTCCTGCAATATGTATCATACATTTTTCCAGTCCGATGCGAGTCGTAGATGAACCGTATATTTTGTAATTATCACCCTTTGTTCCTCATCTCCTTAGATTTCTTGTTTATCTATTCCTGTTTGTCCAATTCAATCTTTGAGACGCATACCTATATCATAATTAATACAACTATTACTAAAAGTATGCACCATGTTAATTATATTATAGAATTTCGCCTTAAAATTGTTTCGAACGTACCTATTAGTCTATAATTAATCTCATAGTTACCCATGATTATCCCATAATGAGTGATCAAATAAGTTGAGTAATCTAACCTTCTATATGTCCTTGGTGCTTGCAAAGGTCAGCTAATGTGTCGGGGCAAACGCTAAGATTGTGAAAATTACTTACACGTTTATGGCTGACTGGCGGCTTACCCTGGTTTCGTTCGGGCGCGACTTCGGCCTATCGGCGGATATCAATAACCTGTCTGTCTGTAATTTTCCTTACTAGCGATAGGAATTTAACATAATTTGTTAGTTACCTTAGTCTATGTCAAACTTTAATCATTCATTGCCACTGACGGGCATGGACCCGTGACCATGGCGCATGTAATAGTGCCGAAATATCGGGCACTCAAAGTAAGTGATAAACATGGTAAATATCCCGTTTTACATCACAATGATATATGTCAAATTTTTATCTACAGTAAGGAATAGTTCAGGTAGATAGGTTATTGAGAACCGCCATATGAGTTACTTCAGGTCATAATCTATCTGTGTTGTACTAAATTTCATCCTTATCTGTCCAGCCGTTATAGAACATACAAAATTTTGCATTTATAAAAGTAGATCTATTTTTTGTTCGTTTGTTTGTTCTCGATTTATAAAATACTTTTTGCACTAGATAGCCCGTTTATTGAGCAAGGCTTTATATTATCATGCTACTACCCAAGGGAGCGGAGCAGTAATCATAAATGTCAGCAAATCGGGTAGACTTCCATACATTATTGTAAAACTATATAATAATATATATGTATTATATATACACATAGGGACGAACCCGGGCGAAGCGAGGGTGAGTCGCTAGTGTGATATATAGCAATGATAATGATGGTAGGAAAAATAATGATACGTAGCAATGACAAACGATGACTAATGCTTATATGACATTTGGGATGATTATGATGGCAATGATAAATGGTGACTAACGCTTATCTTATGGGAAAAAGTAATAATCGTGTCCTTCAATTAATACGAAATGGTCTCCTAATTAGCAATTCGGGATAGAGATTAGACCTAAATAGTTTTTTTTTCTATTTAACTGTTTTTCTATTACAAGTCTTCCTTTATGACCTTTGAGTTTTGATAAATAACAATATATGGCTATTTCTATAGCAACATCTATAGCGTTTGATTTTTCGGAAATATCGAGGTGATCTCGAATACAAAAGATTTACGTATTATGGCAAAGAAATTGCGAATAGAAGAAGTATATTTTGTTTTTGTAACAATTTGAGCATGAAACAATTGCTATTATTATTTTATTTTTAGTTACATATTTTGTTCTAAATCTATACATACATATGTATATATAATAACATTCTGAGTCGAATCTGTACATTAAATATTTTTTTGGAAAATCTTATTAAAATAGTCATTATAATCGATACAGAGGCCGAATCTATAATTTTTTGAATTTTTGTCTCTCTGTCTGTGTGTCTGTCCATGAACGCATCACGAGAAAACCACTGGACAGATTTTGTTGAAATTTGGTATGATGATAGCTGGTTATGATGATGATAGCTTGTCGGGTCAACATGCAGGATACTTTTTACTGCGGTAAAATGTATCTAGGGACGAATCCGAGCGGAGCGAGGGTGAGTGGCTAACTAAAACTCCAAGAGAACATTTTTGTTCAATTCATTTCTATAACATTAGTCTTAATTTAAAAGACATTTTTTGTTACTAAAATCCCCCATACGATATTACATTTGCCAACTTTGTCGACTCGACGCACACGGGTAAATAACAAGAGGCGCGCCGCCAACTGACGTCTGCCGCTTGCATTAGCGAAGCTATCGTATAATGTTTTATCCTTTTTGCGGGTAAAAATTGAATTACATTGGCGAGAGTTGGTTGAATGTACTCGGAATTTTCTACGATTTATTATTAAATGGGATTAGCGCTTCAGGTTCGTCCTTAATTACGTTTTAACGTTTAGTATACATTTCTCAGAGATGAGATATTTTCCCGCATTAAAAAGTATCCTATATGTTGACCCGGATAACCAGCTGCCATCATACCAAATTTCATCAGACTCTGTCGAGTGGTTTTCTGTGATGCGTTCCCAGACAGACAGACAAAAATTCTAAAAACCATAGATTCGGCCTCTGTATCTATAATAATAACTATTTCAATAAGATTTTCCAAAATATATTTAATGTACAGATTCGAGTCAGAATTTTATTATATGTATAGATATATGCGTTATTGTAATATACCTATGTTACGTTGTGGTTAGTCGCTGGGTGATAAACGTAGCCTATAACTTACTCCAGGTCATAATCTATCTGTGTATTTAATTACATCTAAATCCGTCCAGCCGTTTCAGCGTTAAGGAGTTACAACATATACACATTCACACACATACAAACTTTTGTATATATGTATAATAGTAGTCCAATTGTATAGATGGCAATTTAGTTTGTTTCTTTGTAGTGGATTATTTTTGCTAATAAAATTGTTTCTCTGTTAAAAAATTTATTATGCGTAAGGTATTCTTATCGATGTAGCTACCAAGCGAGTAAAACCACCATAGAAAACTAGTGTATTATGTTCTTTAAAACGGTCTTTCATTAGACTAATTATCATGATTACCTCAATCATGTATGTAATAAGTAATCAGTGTTAAACAAAACTCATTATTATGAGGAGTTTTTGTTGGGTTTCCAAAACAATAGTAACACCCAGTTTGCAAAACATCTATATTTAATACTATTTTTTGCCTGCAGCTTCGCTTGCGTGGTAAGGTAGCCTACGTCCGTTCTCAGGATGCAATCTATATTTTTGCTAAAATTTACCTAAATCTGTTTAGCGGTTTAAGCGTGAAATAATTAGCCGACAGAGTTACTTTCACATTTTATAATATGACGGTATGGATTACATGTAAAGATGAATGTAATTTTGTTTGTCAGTCTGTAACCCCACTCTTAAACACTTTAACAGTTTTGGGTGATATTTAGCAAGTATATATAATATATATATATATGCACATAGATTACATCCTGGGGATGAACTTAGGCTATCTTTAGTGAGAGCAAAGCCGCTGTTATAAAATATAAAGAAAAATAAATATTTTGTAATTAAGTAATATATGTAGGTATATATTACTTATAGAAAAACATAAACAAATCTATCCCACGGGAACCGTACATTTTTCCGGTATAAAATGTAGCCGATGTGCTACTCAACACTATAATCTATCTCTGTGCCAAATTGCATCCAGATCCGTTCAGCCGTAACAAACATCAAACATCTAAAGTCTAACCTTTCACATTTAGTATAATCTTAGTAAGATTTGATACTTTACCAACTTTTCTTCTATTCCAGGCAAAACGTCTCAACGGTAATGGTGAACTTGCTGCCATCAAGGTGATCAAGCTGGAGCCGGGTGATGACTTTGCGATCATACAACAGGAGATACTGATGATGAAAGATTGTCGACACCCAAACATCGTAGCGTATTATGGCTCGTATCTCAGAAGGGACAAATTGTGGATATCCATGGAGTACTGTGGTGGTGGAAGTTTGCAGGTTCATCCATTTTTATTAGAAATCAATTAAATCTAAATTAATATTCCGTTTCGATGAGGACATTTGTTTGTCTGTTTGTTACATTTTCAAATAGGGGGTTTGATTTTTCGAATATGCTTCTGTGGCTAAAACAGAAATTAGACTTACTTAAATTTAAATATTTTAATCTTACCGTAAATATGTTTTTTTTTTCAAAATAATATAATTAGTTTGCTAAATATATGTATTTATGACATTACATGCAATCAAATCTCAGTGTAGATACTAGATATCTACAACGTGTCTCCTTCACTACGCTTCGCACTTCGCTACGCAAAGTAAACCGCCCAAGTCGCACGCATTACAAGCCCAGTGAACAAAAAAATCTTCCTATATTTATTGACAATCAAATTTTCTTTCCCATTCTACGTGACATTGGCGAAGTAATCTGTGCCCAACTGACACGTTTTGAAGCCAGTAACAAGAGAATTGAATAGTAATCAAACCAGTAGTTATTTTGAAACAATCATATCTAAATTTATTTATAATGGTAATATGTTATTATTCCAATTACAGGACATTTATCACGTAACGGGGCCGTTGACGGAGGTGCAAATAGCTTACATGTGTCGGGAAACTTTAATGGGTCTGTCGTACTTACACAGTATGGGTAAGATGCATAGGTAAGCACTAGTAGTAATTTATAAATTTTAGGCATTGGATATTTTATTATATATAATTTTATTTTATGGCCAGCGACTTATCCTCGCTTCGCTTGGGTTAAGTTTGAATGGTTTAGGAACATCATAAAAGACAAACGTCGAAAGAAAAATATCTTTTTTTGGACTAGGAACTTTCGCTGGCGTATACAGAATAATCCACAAGAGTTTCATTACAATCTGATCAATGGTTTAGGAACGCATAGAGGACAAACATTCATTTTTATTTATATAGATTATTGCAATTATTGCCATTATGCTATTCTTATATGAAAAAAAAAATGTTTTAAAGGGATGTGTAAACACAAAAAACATTTTTCGATAGAACATTACAGTAAACCGGAAATTGAAAAAAGAACTATTTTTCAACGCTTTGCGTCCCACCATTTCTCGGGGGTAGCTGGGCATAGAGGGCATTTTACGAATTTCTATTCCCTATAGGTATACCTGCTAACATTTTAAAATCATAAAACTTCAGATTTTCAATATTTTGTTCCCAAACCGGATTCCGATTGGACATAAATATACATATTTTTCTGATATAATAAGTCATAAGTTTTAATGCAGTGGAGCATATGGATTGTAGATAATCTGAAGATATATACAATAATATAAATTCTTCCTTAAATGCTATGCTTAATGTTGTTTTCACAAAAAAAATTAAAAGCGCGCTCAAACGTTCAAATAAGCGCTCATTCAGTGAGGTCACTTTTTGTCGCTAATAGGATACGATGCATATACATTGTTATGTAAAGCCACCCCGATGCCAAATGTGGACTATTTTAATTAAAAGTTTTAACAAGTAGGTACAGCCTCTGGGGATGAAAAATAGGGCATAATGTGAAACTTTGGGACGGAGCAATTATACATAAATAATTTACACGAGTGGAGTCGCGAGGTAATATTAGTATGTAAATATCTTATTTCCATTCATTTCAGAGATATAAAGGGTGCAAATATCCTGCTAACGGAATGTGGCGATGTGAAATTGGCTGATTTTGGTGTGTCAGCGCAAATAACAGCTACTATTAATAAGAGGAAAAGTTTTATTGGGACTCCTTATTGGATGGCGCCGGAGGTAACGTTCTTTATTCAATGGTTTTATTGTATTTCTTGACCGACTTCGAAAAAGAGGAGTACCTCCTTGATTCGGTTGTTTATATATTTATTTTCAAGAAAAAAAAATCACCGTTGAGTGTTTCATAAATTATTTTTAAAGTAAATTAAAAGTTGCCATGCCTAATACTTTCTTAAATATACCTACGCGAATATTTGACATTTTAAATAAAACTAATTTTTCGCGTTTTTTCGCGGATTTATTTTGATTTTTGGTTCCCGACGTTTTTCGAATTTTTTACAACAATCATGGTCACAGGAGAGATTTGATATGCCTGTTTAGTTAAAAATTACATTTAAAGAGGATGTTTTCTATGCGACTAATGGCCTTCTGTTTGGTACCCTCAGTATAAGAATCATATTTGTAGAATCGAACGTATACATGATCGATTTATTAAGAACCTCCCAGTAAACATTTCTATTAATAATAAGAAAATTTCTATCCTTATGTCAGCAGTTGAACGACGTGCTCAACGAGATCAAGTCCTTTTATATAAGATCTTGAATAACGAAATCGATTCGCCGTATTTATTGTCTAAACTACAATTTAAATGCCCACGAAATATTAATCCCAGACAAAAATCCACTTTTTATGTCCCTGCTACCAGAACTAAATTTGCAAAAAATTCATTTATCAATAGAAGTTGTGATCAGTATAATAATCTTTTTATTAGTAATGACATATTTCATCTCTGTCTTAATAAATTTAAAATTAGTGTTATGTACAATTTGATTAATGCAAGCTGTTATTGATTTTATTATTTTACATTATTAATTTAAAAATGTGTTATTTAATTAATTATATTCTAAGGATTTTATTGATTATTTGTAATTATTGATTGTATGGCATTTCTCTCTCTCTCTCTCTTTTAAATTTGTAAGTCTTTTTTTTTTAATTGTTATTTTTAATATTTTGCATCTGTATCCATGTCTTTGTTATAAGTGTTATTTTAACAACGGAAACTATTATTGGTTATGTATTATCAATTGTTTGTTATTCTACGTTTATCTTGTAACACCGTTTGTTTCCTTAATAAAAAAAAAATAAAAAAAAAACGTCACCTAAGTTTAAGGGATCCCCTAAGCATGGTTAGGGGGCTGTTAGGGGACACTTTTTGTTTCACCGGCAGTTAGGGGTCACCTAAATGTTAAAATGCCCCTAAATCCTATATTTACTAGAAATACGGGCTCTGACGATGTTAAAACGAAAATTAATTAGGGATAGTTTAGGGGAATTTTTAAGCTAGGTATCCCATACGTAGGTAGGTAGGTAGCTTAAGTGATGTTAGTGAAATCGGGAATAATTGTTCTAGTAGGAAAATCATTTTCCATTATTTTCATTGTGTATGTACTTATTGCGGATTTTATAATATTCATTAATGTACAAACATATGTTGCACATATTTATTTTGTTTATTTTATTTCCAGGTAGCTGCAGTTGAAAGGAAGGGCGGTTACAACCAATTATGTGATATATGGGCTTGTGGGATTACGGCTATCGGTTAGTATAATCTATACATTATATGTATATAAAAGACAGCTCTCAGCCCTTGTCTGTCTGTACATACCTAATACCTATGTATGTCCGCACTAGTCTCGAAAATTACTAAACGGATTATGATGGGGTGTTTGTTATGATCTCTATTTCTAGCACTTAGGACGCTAAAATATTTAATGATATAAAGTTGTAAAATTAGGTTATATTTAAATTATCAAAAAATTACGTTAATCTAAGAAAGTATCATAAATTACATAATTAATTGTTACTTCATTATAATTAAAAAATCTTGGTCTTTTCAGAATTGGCTGAATTACAACCGCCAATGTTCGAGCTCCATCCGATGAGAGTGTTATTTCTAATGTCCAAGTCCGGATTCAAACCCCCTCAACTGAAGGAGAGGGAACGCTGGTCGCAACTTTTCCATGCATTTCTAAAATTAGCTCTAACTAAAAACCCTAAGAAAAGACCTACCGCTGAGAAATTGTTACAAGTAAGATTTTTTTTAATATGTTATATTTCTTATATGAAATGAATTGAAACTTTATTCAAAGATACTTATTAGTACTTAGGCAGTGGTAGACCAGTGGTCACACAATCGCTTGCATAATCAAGTGAAACGGGTTCAAATCCCGGGTCTCGAACCTCTAATATTTTCACGTGCGAATCATTTCCAACATGATTACCACTTGTGTTACGGTGAAGGGAAACATCGTGAGGAAAACTGCATATCTAAATGAATTAATAAATTTTTAAAAGACATGTGAAGTCTGCCAATTTGCACTTGGCCAGCGTGGTGGGGACTATGGCCTTATCCTCCGTCCCCAGCAATGGGATGTTAAAAAGTTTTGAATGTATACATACATTTTTTTAAATGAGAATTTGGTTTTAATGGAAATTTGGAATGTTGATAGTTCACATTTTGGCTTTTCATTTTAACCTAGCAAGGACGCAGAGCTGCGGGCAAAAAGTTATGTTAAATATTTATAAATAAATTTTTTACTATCAATTTTTATGGTTTATTAGGGTTCCGTACACAAAGGCTAAAAAGGGGCCCTATTACTAAGACTCCGCTGTCCGTCCGTCTGTCTGTCACCAGGCTGTATCTCATGAACCGTGATAGACAGTTGAAATTTTCACAGATAATGTATTTCTGTGGTCGCTATAACAACAAATACTAAAAAACAGAATAAAATAAATATTTAAGGGCGCTCCCATACAACAAACGTGATTTTTTTGCCGTTTTTATTGATAATGGTACAGAACCCTTCGTGCGCGATTCCGACTCGCACTTGTTATATCGATCCGTACGATTTTGCGTGCGCATATCTAGAGAACGACTGAATATTGCAAAATGAATGGAATATTTCGACAGAACCGTTTTTCTCTACGTTGGAAATCTTCTCGTAAGCGTGTGCTTATGGATTTCTTATTTAAGTATATTAATATTTATCACATACTAGCATTCCCCGCGGCTCCGCCCGCATTCAAATGACCAAAAACCAAATTCTTAGGTTTTACATATTAGTAAACTCTTACATTGCAGTTTTTGTATTTTTTCTTAGAAATGAGATATTTTCCCGCAGTAAAAAGTAGTAACAGACAGATAAAAATTCTAAAAACTATAGATTCGGCCTTTGTATCGATAATAATGTTTATTTCAATAAGATTTTCCAAAAAATATTTAATGTACAGATTCGGCTTAGTTACAATTTTATTATATGTATAGATGTATGTAATTGTATATATGTGTGTGCACACTGCACATGTCGAAATAGTTTGATCTTACTTTATTTCTTATGTTTAAAAAGCTTGGATAATTTATGGAACCAAGTATTCCAAGTGAAAAAATATTATGTAAAAGTAATATATATAAATATACTTTGCTTTCAGCATGCATTCTTCCAACAAGACATGAGTAAACGGCTCGCGATAGAGCTCTTACAGAAGTATTCGAACCCGCCCAGCCACTGTAACAGCCAGGAGTTGGATGATGATGGCGTAAGTGTAATTTTTTTTCCGGTTTAAAACTTTTTATTGGGATTTTTTTCGCGCTGTCATCTTGATTTTTGGGTGTCTCGACGTTCCGAATGCTTTAAAGCTAACGAGACCATAAAAAAATATCATTTTTTTAAATTAAAACAATTTCTTAGCGACATTTCGACAATATTATTGACACCATCTGTTATAACTAAGACTTTTATGATGTCAACAACTTTAATTTGTTATGATAATATTAAAGCATTCGAAACTTTGGAAACAAAAAATCAAAATAAAACACTAAAAAAAATATTCATTCAAGTGTGTCTCTAGTGTAGTACACAAGTTATTAGAAGGGGTAATTTTTTCGACTTAAGTCACACATATCAGTAGCTTATTTTTTCTTCATATTAGTGAAAATTACAGCACAAACCTAACTTATGCAAATCTAAGAAATTATTTAAATATCTAAGTTACTAGCGCCTCGCCCTCACTTCGCTCGGGTTCATCCCTGGATACGTTTTATCGGTTAGTATGATATACAAATCTTAGAATTTCTCGGCTTTTCTGTACTGTCTGTATAATATGCATGTATTATACATATACACCTTCCTCTTGAAACACTCTATCTATTAAAAAAACCGCATCCGCAATCCGTTGCGTAGTTTTAAAGATGTAAGCATACGTAGTCGGAAGGGACAGACAGACAGCGGGAAGTGACTTTGTTTTATACTATGTAGTGAAGTTATGAACGTTCCCAGGCGCTATCGAACGTGCCGCAGCGCATCGCGTCGCGTCAGACGCGCGGGCGCCGGGACGCGCGCCCGCGCTCGCTGCTGGGACCGCACACGCGTCTGGAACATTCTCTAAGGTATGCCTATTTATTATTATTATTACGTCTAAACGTTTAGTATAGATTTCTCAGAGATGAGATATTTTCCCGCAGTAAAAAGTATCCTATATGATATCCTTGACCCGAATAACCAGCTATCATCATACCGAATTTCGTCAAAATCTGTCCTGTGGTTTTCTCGTGATGCGGTCACAGACAGTCGATAATGATAATTATTTCAATAAGATTTTGCAAAAAATAATTACCTTACAAATCCTACTTAGAATTTTATAACATGTATAGATTTCATAAGCACACATACTATATATGTATATTAAACATTAACACACTAAATTATGTTAAAAGTGTCACGCTCACTGATATGTATATCAATAGCCTTATTACATAACATTCGCCAACAAATTCGTTAAAAAACATTCAAAAAAAAAACAAACGAAATCAATAAACCTCCTTCGTGTCTCAGTTTAAAAATCCATCTGCGTAGTAAGTAGAATCTGTGCTCAAATGGCACGCTTTGAAGCTATAGCATGAGAATTGAACTTTTTGACTCTCGACATGTAGTAGTGTAGTTGTTACGCGGTTGTATTCAATTGTAACTTTGTAAGAATATTGACTTATATGCTTAAATTATTATTTCAACACTTATAATGAACAACGATGTATATCAGTATTAAGATAATTAAAAATAATATATAATAATAATAATATTTAAAAAAAAACAAGTATTTGCCTACTGATGTATATGTAATAATCATTATGTTTTCTATTATAGCCCAAACACTCGGAAACAAGAATTAAAAAAAAAAATTTTCATCCAGAACTTTCTAATTTCGCTACAGATTAACACCAGACGAGCAGAGAGAGGCAAATCGACGTTCAGGAGTGTATGATGACTCACCTATCATAGATTTGGATGCTGAGGATGACCTTGGCTTGTCTATGCCCAAAGTGATTAACTTCAGTGCTGAAGTCAATAGATGTGATGGTGACACAGTTAAGAGGAATGGTGAGTTATAAATAATATCGACTCTTACGGTTTTTCTTTGTTTAATGTCAGATGATATAGACCGTTATAGTACTTTAGTATGTACTTATTATTTGTATTCACGCAGTGTTAGCTCATAATGTAACGCGCTCGCTTGGGAAACTGAGTTAAGCGGGTTCAAATCCCAGGTCTCGCTCGCATCTCTGATATTTTCATGTAAGACTCGTTTCCAATATGATCACCATTTGTCCTTACTGTAAAGTAAACATCGTGAAGAAACCTGCATGTCTGAAAGAACCTAGCAAGACATGCTGAGAGCGCCTAAATTTGGCCAGCACGGTGGAATATGGCCTGATCCCTCTCGTATTGAAGACCTATGCCCAGCAGTGAGACATTAAAGACTGAATACATACATATATTTGTCTTCAGCCCTTTTTAACGTCCCACTGCTAGGGGTGGGCCGGGCCTCCCTTCCAAACGAGGGGGACCAGGTCATAGACCGCCACGCTGACCAATTCTAAGTTGGCTGACACTTATTATTTATTTATTGTTTATCTAAATCCGTTCATAGTGTCAGTGTGATGAAGTAACAAACATACGTACACACGAACTAGCATTTATGATAGTATAAAATTTATATAATTGGCAAAAAATAAATTAATTTCAGCATACCACAGACAATCAAGCGAAGATTGGAGCGTAGCATCACTAATGACTTGTCCGAAACACAATCCTTTAACTCAAGAACTATCTACAGACAGTATGCCCACTAGTGAAAAGTAAGTGTATATGTTATATACTAAGAAATATATTATTTTATCTGTTTGTTTGTTTATTTTATATATTTTTTTAGTTTTTTATCTGTGGTCTAATTGATTAAATTTTTTTTTGTACTTCTGAAATTTAAATGGATGTTATTTAGATTTTTAAAGATTGTTTCTTGTATATATTAGTTTTTTCTGTTCAGTAAGGCCATTGTTATTTTATTATATATGTATTGCTTTATTACTATATAAAGGTTTTATAATTAGTCAGTTTTTATGTTTTTATTTCCTTTTTTTTATTCATTCCTTTAAATTTTAACCTCCATTTTTTGCATTTATTAAATATACCTTTTTTTCCAAAATAGTAAATTTTTACGCTTACAATTTTTGTGTTTTCGTATTTATTTTTATGTATTTTTTATTATAGCAAGTGGTGTCGGGTCGTCACTGGTGACGATATATTAAGAATGAGTTTGAGGTATAGGCTTTTTCCAAATTTTTTCTATTTTTTTATACCTTTCTTTCTTTCTCTTGCGTTAACTTTGTACTGTGGTTTTTTTCTAACAGGTTTTGATAAGTTTTGGCGGTTTTTTGTTACTGTGTGACGGATTTTGAAGATTTTTTTTATAGGAATTAGGTCTTGTGTTTTTTTAATCTATAGCTTTTTAGAAATAATTGCAAATGTCTCGCTCTTACTAACAGAACTATTGTGAATAATTTTCGGTTTTCACTTTTTATTTATATTAATTCATTTTATATTGTTAGTGAGAAAATATTTTTTTACTTGTAAATTTATTTTTCGAGTGTTTTTTTTAGTTTTTATTTAATATAATGTCTTTGCAGTTATTTCAAAGGCTTTTGCAATAGCAAGAATGGCGGTTTAAAATGCGATGTGTCCGAGTGTTCAAAGCACAAATGTGTAGATTTTTTTTAAGTGTTAAAATGTCGTATGTTTATTTTTGCATGGTTTTTTAAATGTGTCAACATTTTATATTAGCTTATCGATCATACGATCATTACTTGTCATACCTACAGACGAAACAATAACACTGTTTATATATGTATATATAGGTTTTAGTTGTTTTTGCTAGAAAAACATAATGGCACGTATTAAATAAATTAAAAGATATTTTTTGGTAATGGACATGAAATTTTTGGGTACCTAATACTCTATTACGAGACATTTTTTTATACAAGAAATCTTTGTTTATCTATAATATAAAATGGTACTCTCTCGTATATGATTATGAGATTTTTTGCATATTTTTTATATGAAAGTATTGATTTTAATTATGTTACAAACACTTACATATCAGTACACATCATAAAGTAATATGGTCTAAAGTTATTTTTGGTACCACATGAACATTTTGATACACCGGGAATCAAACTTGTGATCATTTTTATATCCACAAATGTTTTGGTCACTATATTAATCGAATAATTAAAAATAATATAAAGATTTAAAACAATGAATTATTTTATTTAATAAAATAAATATGTGTATAATTTGTACCTGTCACTGTCAATATTTATTGTATTTATTTATATTTGACATTCTACTTTAGACCGTATTATTAGAGCAATAAGGTACATTTAGGTGTGGCACATGTCTGTACGTCGTTTTTCTTGTTTTAGGAGCCTCTTGCAATATATTGACGAAGAATTAATGCTAAGGTAAATCGAAAACACGCATGCGTTTGTGTTCACTATTCTAGAACGTTCGGAATAATAAACTGTATATTCTAATAGTATTATGATAGTTTTGTATTTCTTTATATAGGATGTTTGGCGTTAGAAACAAGTATTTTTGATATTAAAAAATTGGCAATTATGTCGTTTTTTTCTCAGTTAGTTTCTTCAGGATGGATTGTTTTTGTTATAAATTGACGTCATAATAATATATATTTAATAGTATTTATTTCATTTGTTTCTAGTACATATCTATACTATTTAAGAAATCATGTATAAGCAATATTTTACTATAATATTATCTAAAAACGTCATTTTCTTTAAATTATGTAACAAATTATTTATCATATGCCTATTTTCGACTATATATAGTTAAAACTATGTATTACGTATTTATTTTGTAAGTTTATTATTCTGAACATTTTTTTTCAGTATATGTAGCGTTAACGTATAGAACGCTTTATATTGGATTTATAATTAGATATATAGAATGTGAAAGTTCTATATCAAAATTTTTTAGCTGATTTTTAGTAGCATGTGGTATGCAATATATGTTATTTGTGTATTTAATAGTTTCATTTTATGGGTATTGTATAAATATTTAAGGAATTTGTCAGTAGTTAATCGAATCCCGTATTTAGGATGAACAAAAGTGTAATTCTTAAAGTTAATTCATTCATTTACCACGTACTTAATGTCCCACCAGCACTACTTGTTATTTAAACTAATAAATAACCATACAAAATGAATCTTAACTAAGCCAATTTGTGTCTAACAGCACTCAACCCAAGCTTTCACGTTAACACTGCATAACCCCGGCTTTCTACTAAAAACTACCAAACTCTACCAAAATGATAACGTTTTAAATATCAACAGGGCAACACTACCTCTAACGGCTGAAACGGCGAATATGTCCCAAGGAACCAACTCTGGTCTATCGATCCACGATCAACATCTGTCACAATGTATACAATTAAAGCAGAACTTCTTAAATAATTCAACAACAAACGTCTATCAGAGCTTAGCCTCTAACTTCCAATCGCCTGTAGGGGCATCGTCCATTTCCATAGACAATCCGTTGTCCAGAAAAGAGGATATGTTATACGCGGACCAACAGGAAACGGAAGTGACAGATTCACAATTGAGAAATTCAAATTGCGAATGTGGTTTATGTCCGAAACCAGAGACAAAAGAGAACAACACACTAAGTGATCTACAAAGATCAGTAGCAAAGTGCTCCTGCGGCGCGTGCAATTCCAATGGCGATATACTAAGCTATTACAGGCACTGTTCGAACCAGAATTCCGATTCGGGCATAGTTTATTGCGATACGTGTAAAAAACAAAAGATATCTCTATCGAATTTCCGAGCATTACAAATTGCGAACAGATTGAGGATATCCGATTCAGACAAAATTGAAAATGGTGGTGTATCAGATGACGATTTGTGTAGGAGAATAGATATGAGCTTAAATATGGATGAAAAGAGCTACGAACATAGAAAAAGGCATAATAGACATAATTCTGATTCAGTTACGGCGGGTATCGATTTGAGTCAGTTTTGTCAGTGTGAGTTAGAGAGTACTAGTAAGAGAAAAACGTCGTCGGTGGACGAAATTTTCAAAATGGTGGACGAAAATGGACGAGATGGTCAAAAGGAGTTGGTGGATGAGGAATTGAAAACGAGTCAAAGACAACGAAGTTTGTCGGACAGTCAGCGGGATAAGGCCAAGGTTGAGACTGATGGTAAGTATTTGTCTATGAAAGTTGTAGTCAAGAAGTTGTATCCAAAGAGTTCAAGTTTTTGCTGTTAATGAAACTGTTGCTATAGTTTAAAATGCTATTATAAATGTTGCAAAATTAAATATTGCACTGGAATATTAAATAATAATAATTGATCTCAATTACATTTTTGTTCAATTATATAAACGTATACAAACCGACATTATAGCTTTACTAGAGAGCTATTCTCACTCCGATGCGTCCCTTGTTGCCTTTGTATTAATAATATTATACACAAGTAGTTCTGCCATTTTGCAAATTTAATTACTAACAGCCTGTTTTTATTTCAAGTCATAGTTTATCTGCATACAAAATCTCATCCAAATCTGTCCGTAAAACAAACTTACACACATACATTCAAACTTAATACTAATTTATAATAATAGTCTGACGTACAAACCACACATAGGTATGTACTATAATAATATTATAAAGAGGTAAAGTTTGTGAGTTTGTGACGTTGTAGAGTGTAATCTTTGGATCTACTGAACCGATTTAGATGAAATTTGGCAAGAAGATAGTTTGAAACCCTGGGAAGGATATAGGATACTTTTTATCCCGGAAATCACCCCTTAAGGGGGTGAAAATGGGGATAAATGTGTATGAGGAAGCAACCTAGGGACGAACCCGAGTGCTCCGAGGGTGAGTCGCGAGTATAATATACTTTTACAGTGGCAAGCACCCCTCCAGTACCCCCAAGAAGGGCGCGCGCGCGGCGCACGCGCACGCCCCCGCGCCCTGCGCCCAACGGCTTGCCGCCCACACCTAAAGTACACATGGGAGCTTGCTTTTCTAAGGTTCGTATTAAATCCATATCTGTACATATAATAAAACTCTGAGTCGAATTTGAACATTAAATATTTTTTTAAAAACCTTATTGAAATAGTCATTATTATCGATACAGTGGCCGAATCTATAGTTTCTAGAGTTTTTGTCTGTCTATCTGTCTTTCTGTGACCGTATCACGGAAAAACCACTTAGGTATGATGATAGCTGGTTATCCGGGTCAACATATAGGATACTTTTTACTGCGGGGAAATATTTCATCTCTGAGAAATCTGTACTAAACCTTAAAACATAAGTAGGCGAGTGGAGCGAGGGTGAGTCCCTAGTTCTAAAATGTTTAAATTATTGTTACAGGTATTCAACGGTTGTCCGCTAAGGATAAACTGTACTGCGTCCTGGATCCACCCGGATACCCGCGATCAGCATATCCTTATAGGTGAGGTGCTAGAAAGTTGTGTTTGGAAGACTCAAACTAAAGAATTGTATACATAGATAGAGTCTGCCAAAATAAACGGCGAAGTCAAAAGTAGTATCGTAATTTGTTGTTTATACTACTATTTTCGATTTTGCCATACAGATAGTTTTTTTTAAAGAATAAGGGAAATTCTATATATGTTTTAGTTAAGTAAATATACTATTTTTGGGAACAATATAATAAAATTTGAATGCCAAAAATAATACTATATTCTTTTGTAGTTTTTAAGTATTAGTTCTCTTCCTATATAAAGGGAGATAGCATAATATTAACTTAATTTTAAATTAATTTAATTTTTCTTTATTATAATAAAATACGTAGTTGTATTCAGCACTTTTTAATGTCCGACTGTTGGGCACTAATCTATTTAATTCTCTTGTTAATGGCTTCAAAGCGTGCCAGTTGAGCACAGATTACTTCGTCAATGTCACGTAGAATGGAGAAAACATACTAATCTATTAATATTTTATCCACAGGCGCAGAAGAAGGTATTTACACATTAAACTTGAACGAGTTACACGAAACAGCCATGGACCAACTTTGTCCGCGGCGGACGATATGGATGCACGTCATCAAAGATGTTCTAATGTCGTTATCTGGTGAGTTCTGATGGCTAACATACTATTTGATTGATCTGCTCATGTTTTATTAATCCTAGGGGTTGATTTGACCTTCTTTCAATGCCTCCCCTGATGTTTCCTTGCTCCAATGAGGTACTAGTCTCTCCCTATACTGCCATGAATTACTGGTACCGTCGGGGTAATTTCGAACACGGCCTACATATCGAGAATTTAAGCCATACCCATTTCAATTCCACCCAAACCCGTAATATAAACAAGTAACAAATAAACAAACATTTTGCTTATCCCAATCAGGTAAAACTCCCTCTCTATACCGCCATGAGCTATTGGCATTATCTGGGTCCGGGCGCGGCGGGCGCGGCGGTGCGCGCTCGCTGCGAGTGCTCCCGCCGCGCCTACTGCCACGCCGGTTTGCACCCACCACGCGCGTGCCCGATACTAGAGGTTTGTAGACTATTTTAGGGTTTTTGTATATATATATATATATATATATATTTATATATATATATATATATATATTTTGCAGGGATTATCTACTATCACGCCTTATCAAGAACAAAGAAAAAGTAGGCCAAATAAATGCCCGAAGATGGTGGTTTATGTAGTGGTTTATATTATTATAGTTTATGTAAAGTTAACAAAAGGCATTAAGTCCAAAAAAATGTGTATTAAGGTCGTGAGAAATGTTCCAAGTGACGGAAAACCAAATAATGTGCTCGTAAATAAATTTAGCCCTGTCCGAGTTCCAGTGGTTTTAAGTTTACGCATTGTATCTTTTTCTTGAAATGATCTTGGCTACATTAGGTTTTAATTCGTTTATTAAAACTTTTACTTTTTTAAACAATTGGTCAAAGGGCTTTTCTAAGACAGAGTGTAGCATTTTACAGGAGTGAAATACCGTCATCTAACAGAAACACTCAATAACTAAACTGAGCCCTACACGGGACTCGACCCCAGGACCTACAGATCTGCTGTGCATGCTAGCCAGTACACCACGGAACAGCATATACATATATATACAACATGTCTCTTAGATTTTTCCCAATTTCGTGACAATTTTCCAGGATGCATGCGCTGCGCCGTGGCCCGTAACCCGTACAATGGGTACAAGTATTTGTGTGGCGCGACGCCCGCCGGCCTCTTCCTCATGCAGTGGTACGACCCGCTCAGGAAGTTCATGCTGTTGAAGGTCAGTCTGTTGCTGGGTAATGGGTGCCTGTTAGTTTAAATGATATAATAAAAATTAACAAAACAAAAGCAAAAAAAAATCAAAACAAAAAAATACAAATATTTTTTTAATGAAATTGAACCTTATTCAATTAGACTTAAGAGCACTTTTGAATTTTAATTAAAACTATCTTAGCGGATATTTTCGCCAATAATGGTCACATGATTGCTGTAAACTGTAAAGCATTCGAAACATTGGGAACCAAAAATCAAAATAAATCCGCAATAATGTTCTAAAAGTTTTATTTGAAATGTCAAATATTCGCGTAACTCTAAGCAAGTATTATCACTTATTGAATTATCAATTTAGGTTAAAGAGCGTCAGTGTAGCCAGTCCGTGAGGAAGCTACCACCGGCTCGGAAAGCAGTTCTGCTGAGAAGAGTCGGCGAGAAACTTAACAGTTGATCTTTTAAATGAATATCTTCGAGTTACATTTTATTTATTATATTAATATTTTTTTTTAGATTTATGCGAATATTTGAAATGAAACTTTTTAATTGCTTTTTTCTTTGAAAAAAGTTTTTTTTATAATGTAACCTTTGAGACGTTTAAAACCTTAGTCTCTCCCGTGACTATGATTGCTGTAAAGCAATCGAAACCTCGAGAACCGAAAATCAAAATAAATTCGCGAAAAAAAACAAAAAAGGTGGTTTTATTTAAAATAATAATGTATGTATAACGCAGAACATAGAGTGCGTGCTGCCGTCACCACTGCTGGCTTTCGAGCTTATCATCACGCCGGAGCTGGAGTACCCGCTGCTGTGCGTGGGCGTCACGCGGAAACCGTTGCGGTTAAACCTCATCAATATTAATTCAGGTAAATTGATCTACATATATGATTTTATATCTTCTAATATATAAAATTCTCGTGTCACAGTGTTTGTAACAAAACTCCTCCGAAACGGCTAGACCGATTCTTATGAAATTTATACTATAACAAAGTCAAAATAAAATAATTCAGAAATTACAACTTATAGTACATGTCACATTAAATAAAATAAATAAATCAATCAAGATAGATCTAAATAAAAAAAATCACAATATCATAAAAAACACAAGAGTTGAGAGAAAAAATTACATATAAATAATAACACTAATCTTGGATTTTATAGTAATTAAACAGCTTTTTTTCTAAAGATTGGAAAGGAATCGTGAAAGATTGGAATTCGTTTAATAATATTATTGTATCTATTACACATACGTAGTAAAGGGGCTTGATTGCCAACGCGTGATCTTAACACGAAGAGTTTCAAACATTTTGCGAATGCGAGTTTTTCTAGGTTTTCTACATGGGACTGATAATAATATTCTTTCAAGCAACTCTGAATGTTTTATCCTATTGTTGAGAATGTTGAAAAGAAAGCTTAAGTCAAGAATTTCACGCCTGCTTTGAAGATAGATTATTTCGTATTTAACCAGTCGCTCGTTGTATAAGCGTCTGTGTAAAAATCTGTCTCATGAAAAGAAGGGTATTTTTGGAAACAACGCTGAATACCTTAAATTCGTTGAGAATGTACGTTAAACAGGGGATTCCAAATGACACAAACATACTTAAGACAGCTGCGAATCAAGGAGTTGTATAGGACTATTTTCTATTGCCTAGAAAATTCTTGTGCATTCCTACTAATAAAACCTAAGTTCTGTGAGGCTTTAAAGACCATTTTATTAATGTGCGTTACAAAAGTTAATCGTTTGTCTATAGTGACTACTAAATCTTTGATTTCGGATGCTTCGTGTATTGGCGAGATTTCTATTAAGTAACTAGAGACAAGTGGTTTTTTTCCGGGTGAATTTTATATGAAAACATTTATTTACATTAAGAGTCATATGATTGAGATGACACCATTCATTGATTGATTGTTGAGATCATGTTGAATCAAATCTACGTCTCTATCAGTTTTAAGTGTTTTATATATTTTAAGGTCATCGGCAAATAGTGAACATTTACAATGTTTAATAGTCTTAGTTATATCGTTAATAAAAATAAGAAACAAGATAGGTCCAAGGTGTGAACCCTGAGGCACCCCACTTTTGGCAAAATACCTCAGATTCGAAACCAGCTGCGGTAATAATAGAATTATTTTTATATATGACACAACTGAAAAGTTTTAAAAAGTAAACCTATAAAAAAAATGTATATAAATTTGGTACCAAAATTATCCATATAATCCCGCAGGTGCCACTTGGTTCCACTCTGACGAGCTGGACCTATGCCCGGGCGGTTCCAACACTGTGATCCCGCGCGCTGAGCGCCTGCACACGCTGCGGGCGGTGCACCAGCTAGATAAGGACTCGGTGGGTACATTCTCGCAGGGTTCTATTGGGTTTGGGGGGAAGGGGAGGGAGGGGGCTCTGTATCCAATAAACTGGATAAGGACTCGGTGGGTTCATTTTTTTAGGGTTCTATTGGGTTTATGAGGGATTCTGTAGCCAAATAGCTCGATAAGGACTCACGAGTTCACTTTTATATGGGGGTGTTGTAAGTTAAAGAGAAAGTTTTTTAAGGGTTCCATAACAAAAAGTCTTGAAGCCTTAAAGGGGAAAAAACCCTTAAAACTTTTTTGTTTATTTGTATGTCAACCATTTCGCATTAGACCGTAAATAGGCTGTCTCTTGCAAATCACTGGATAATTTTGTAGTGAAATCGCAAAAAAATAGTTCTTACCGTAGAAATGGTAAAATGTTGCACTTTATAAATTTTTAAATATAATATGATGAAATATAAAAATATAAAAAATATTAAAGGGCGGTAAAAAGGCTATAATATGTATATGTACATTAAATAATTTTTGGATAATGAAACAATAATAATAAATTAACTATAACATTTTTTCCACACAGGTGTTGGTGTGTCACGAGAATGTAGTGGACATAATCTCAGTGCTACCGTTCGAGCGGCGTCGGACCAAACTGCCCTCGCGGATACAGTTCGACTTCCATATTGATAGCATATGTTAGTATAATTTTATTTATTTAGGTACAGAAACAGAAAAAAAAAAATTACAACTACGTATTAAAAACTAAAAGTATCATTTTAAATTTGTTGTCCAATTATATCTGTACACAACATTCAAATACAAACATATAATAATTATATAAACAAACTTAACCAGAAAGTGAAAATAACAGTACGAGTCTGGGCATTTAAAGTTACATAAAAATATTAAAAAACAAAAAGAAAATAAGATTTACATTTCATGTGGAAAAAAATACAAAGAAAAAAAAATAAAGGAGAAGAAACAGAGAGAAAGCATGTCCTTATTATCGAAAATGTAAAGTAAGAACTATAATTTATATGTTTTTTGGTTATATAATATGTTTTCTTTGTTACTGGTGATTTGAATTTTTTAATGTTCTACTGCTGGGTATAGGTCTCTTCTCAATGCGAGAGGAGCATCGTAGTGCAGAACGTTTTGCAAGAACTAGATAGTTGGACCCTGTTTAGTTTCCCATATTTCCTAATTGCTAATTAATGATAAGACCGCCTTTTGTGCACACTTTTAATTTTTGAGTTTTAGACACTTTCTTTCCCTGTATTTGTGTGGTTTACAGATGACACGTTTAGTTTGTTATTGCTGTGCCACTGGCAAGGTGCCAGTGGTCGCGGGTTCGAGTCCCACAGGGGGTATTTATTTGCGTGATAAGCAGGAATGTTTGTACTTCAGTCATGGGTGTTTATATTTATAGTATTGAAAGTTATATATGTGTAGTGTATCAACTATCTGGTATCCATAACACAAACCTCGTAGCTTACCATGAAACTAGACGGTGCTGTGTGTTAATGTCTCAACATATTTATTTCATTTATTATTATGTGATTACTGTGGTGTATAAAAAAGTGTATAAATAAAAGCAAGAACCTAATTTCTGTAATAATGTCTAATAAGTAATAATACTTTCTTAATATAATTTTTTTTTGTTTATTTGTGGGTAGGCTGTTTGTAACAAATATATAATACTTTTGAGACATCTAACACCTCAGTCTCTCCCGTGACCATGATTGCTGTAAACCATTCGAAACGTAGGGAACCAAAAATCCAAATTAAACCGCGAAATAATCCGAAAAGATAGTTTTATTTAAAATAATAATGTCTAATTATTATATATACTAATATTGTTAAGAGGTAAAGTTTGTGAATTCGTGACGTTGTAGGAGGGAATCTCTGGATCTACTGAAGCGATTTAGATGAAATTTGATAAGCAGATAGTTTGAGACCCTGGGAAGGACATAGGATACTTTTTATCCCGGAAATCATCCTTTAAGGGGGTGAAAATGAAGATTAAAGTTTATATCGGGAAGCTAGTCTATATATGTATGTATGTGTGTCCAGTGTGCCTGGCGGACTCAGTGCTGGCGTTCCACCGTCACGGCGTGCAGGGCCGCTCGCTGCGCTCCGCCGCCGTCACGCAGGAGATCGCGGACACCTCGCGCGCCTACCGCCTGCTGGGGCACGACAAGTGAGTGCACCGCCACCACCACACCACCACCACTCACATACCACCACAAACACCTACGTACCGCCACTAGCTACATACCACCACTGCCTACGTACTATCACTTGGTGCTTACCACCACTTACCAATACAGAGATACCACTGCATACATATTACTGTCTAGCAGTGGCGAAGGGTCCATACAAGACGTCTTACCTAAAACTGCTTACAATGCTGAGAAAAATTTTTTATATCAAAAATACCAATTTTTATATTTTCATTTTTAAAATAAATCGCTGAATTAAGACAATATTAAACATTTATACAAGTTTTTTTTTTTAAATAAAACCATCCATAATACGAATTTATATGTATTTATATTGTAGCTTTATTGTACTTTATACGAATGAATATCGATTGTTGGCGAAATATCGATTGTTTGCACGTGAGTGTTTGCGATCATAACGCGAGTTTATCACAACACTACAGCTAGCTAGCTGACCAGCTAACCAATATGGCGATTGGCGATCTATTATTGAATCAATGAAAGTACTTGTTTAAATGTTATTAATTTTAAGAAGTGTCCGTCATATTATATTTATTAATTCACATATTAAAAAAATGCTAATACATAATTATGATATAAGCGTCGTGCTTATAGGTTCATAGGCGAGATTTGGGTATCTCCTTTAAAAATGTATTTATTGATTTTGCAGAGTGGTCGTGCTTGAGTCGCATTTACTACAAAACAACACGCTCTCGGGCGAGGACGGTAACGACCTGTACATACTGGCGGGCCACGAGGCTTCCTACTGAGATACCTGATGCTCATACAAAATACGTGTAACTCATTCTAAATTATGATTAGTTTTGTATTTTGTTTCCAAATATATCGATAACGTCAAATGTCACGGTCAAATGTCAAAAGTAAAGTAAGTAAGTTTGCAAGGAAGAATTTTTATAGCAAAAGTTTTAAGGAGGGAACATTTGCAATGGTTAAACGATTTTAATTTTAGTTGATATATTAATACTGTTTTTTTTAATAGTCACTAATTGCGGAATGTTTCTGAAGTGCGGGTTTGAGCCCCGCTCGAGTATAATAGCGTTTTAGTGCCCCAAAATGTAATATGATATCTTTTGAAAGAAGTGAAGAAGTGAGATGTGGGTAATTTTAATTAAATGTATGAATCTTATTACACCGGTGGTTTGACAATAGAAAAAGGGTCGGATTTTATCAATGATCAGGTTAGTAATTTTTAGGTTAAATTAATACATGGTTAAGTTAAAACTTACAGTTGTATAAATAACATAGAACATTTGCTTTACTTTCATATTTAGTCAGGTTATAGCTGATGGACGATCTTTACCTGATAATTGAAAAATCAGCCCTAAATAAATAAAATATCTTTATTAATTAGACGTTATTAATCTTTTAATTGATTAAAAATGAATTTTATTTGCTCACTATAATATTGTTTTTAGAATGTTTTATTAATTTCTATATCTCTAATTTAAAAAATATATTAAAAATTAATAAAATAATACAGATAGTACACACGGATGTGACAACAGAGGATATTTTAATTTCCGTGGCGCCTTAATTTGATGAAGAATTATTATAGATCTTGAATTTAATCTTGAAAACAAGAATAAATCTATTGAATTCTGTCATAAAATGAAAAACACATCGTTGTTTTCGATTTTTGAGTATCGATATCTCGAAAGCAAAGCGAGATATTGAAATATATTTTGTTTTATTTTTTCAAGATCTATAAGAATTCATCGTCAAATTAAGGCGCCACGGGAATCAAAATGCTCCTGACAACACAATAAATACCAATTCGGTTAAACTTATTTTAAGTGATCCCACGGACTTTGAATAGTGTGAAGTAACCCTTAGCACTGCCATTTATATATCCATTGTGGGTATGTTTGAAGCAATAATTATTATTATACAAGAAACTCTGTATATCTGTTCGTTTTTCACTTCGTATAAATGAATAGATGTAAATTCTTTAAAAAGTTACGGGCAATTTGAAATAGAAAACCGTTGTATAGAAGTGCCACAACTAGACAGAATTTTCAATTTGTTTTTTTTTTTATAGTGCTTTGGCAGTTTAATGTTTATTTGTTTATTTATTTTTTTGTAATGTATAATGAAAAAAATAATTAATAATTTGTAATATTTTTATAGTAAAAAAAATAGTAAATATTTTAATCAAATTAATATATGCAAGAAAGTAAAATCGAATTGATTTTTTTTATATAAAACCTCTATTCACGCACAAGGACATTCAAGTAATTTTATGCGATGGTTTTTTATTTAAAATTATAATAAATCAACAAAGAAAGTATATTTACTATATTAATATTAATAATAACAAAAAGCGTAGTTGTTATAGACTATATAAACTAAACATATAATGTAATACGGATTTTTAGTTTCTCCTTAGTCCAAATAAGAAAAACTACGCTTTACGTAAACCAAATGTATGTGATCATATAACGTTATAACGTTAACAAAAATATGAAAAAGACAATTTTCTCTTATTATTATATACATAGAGTAAAACTTCAATAAAAAGTTCGCTTGTTTTTTTGTAAATAAAAATATTCCAGTTAGATGTAGTCAATATTTGTATAATATCAATAGCATAGATGTAATTAAAATGTATTTAATATTATTTCTGAGTGAAAGTGGATTTTATTTATTTTATCTGTTCTATTTTGTATGCAAGTTTTTTTTATTAGAACATTCTCAAGCACGATTTTTTTTTTAGGAATAGTGTTGCCAATTTTGAAAATATAATTATTATAATTTTACATGAAATTCTTTCACAGTTTTACGGCAACTGCATCAAATGTGTTTTAATATTATAATTTATTTAATAAATTTTATGTAAAACTAAGCAACACTAATTCCAGAGGTCACTGGCTTTTGATATTTTTACGTTTAATTAACCAGTGTACAGTGTGTAGTGTCATTTTATTATGAAATGAGATTATTGTTTTATTTCGCTTTCTCGTGTATTTTTTGATCTTCCATATTAATATTACACTAAAAGAAAATTAAAAGATACACGTATAGCTCAAGACTTGAGCACATTTAATTTCTTTAAAAAATATCTCTCATATTCCTGAAAAAATAATATATTTTTCTTTTTTTGGGAATATAAAGCACCACCTATTTATTTTTAAAATTGACTGTAACGCTTTGAATAATCCCGTTTATTTATACTGCGAAATAAACTTTTATTTTCTATTTTTTGGGTTTTTATTTTTAGTTCAGTTTTTTTTATTAAAAAAAAACACTTATCGCCAGATATTTGTATCTGTAATTTTAAACAAAAATTACAGAATTGGAATAATAACTTATTATTCTACCAATAGATGAAAAAATGTTTGTAGCATTGAATTTTCCAGATCTGTAATTTTTAATCAATTTTGTTATTTTTAATCTGTTCGACAAAAAAAACATTAAATTTACTATAGAAAACAAAGTTTGTAGGATGTATAGTTTCTTGGTCAGCACCAGATTTTATTGCATTTAAATTTTCATTTGTAGTCTCTTTGCTAGAAATCTCACAAGTCACTCTTATATTGCCAAAACTTACCGGCAAATGGACTGAGAAAGGCTGTATTATCCCGTGATAGCATAGAAATTACCAAATTAGTCTTTATTATAAATTGTTCTTGAGTTTACATAGATTTAATATAGAAAATAAGAACATTGAACACCAATGCAGTAGATATGTACTAATAAAACGTTGTAGGCTAGCTACGGTTAATGAATCTAAATTTTAAAATTTAAACTATTTATGAAATAATATTTCGGGTGTATAAGTGAAACGTAAGTCTGGCGAATCAAGCATATAATGCTTACGATAAATTATTTTTGATTATCAGCTTCACGCTAGTTATGCCTTTATTCATTTTTTTATAGTTCGCCAAATAGATTGACGATTTTGATAGTGTTTAGAACCTTTCTCTATTCTTATAATCAAATATAAAAAGAAAAATTTAAAATTGTAAAATCGAAAGATATAAATTAGATATAGATTTTCGGAAGTATTAGATATATATTTTCGTTAAAGAGGATAGCAGCGCAGGTTTCATTGGAGTGTAAATAAGTAGGTAGCTGTAGATGTAAAGGAATGTCGAGTTTCCATGTTATTCGAGATTGTTTCTGAATAAAATTTATTCCTGAATAAAATGATTAAATTATTACGTCTTTTATTTAATTTCTGCTTACCCTTCTTTATATATCATTATAAAAAATAATTTACGTAATACTATACTAGCAGTATGGACTACGAAGTCTCATAGGAATAAAGAAAAAAAGAGTTTAAATAAATGTCAATAGATGGCATTATCATTGATACTTGTATAAAATTAACGAAAGATAAAAAAGTAGATCTCAGAAAAGGAAAATTCAAACAAAATTATGCACTCGTAAAATGAATTTGTGTAATTTTACTGATTATTAAAAATCTGGTATACAAACGGGACAGTAAGGGCAGGTACCTTAACTAAGTGGGTAGTACTGGCTTTATTACGCCGGTGAGTCCCACACCTCGTGCGTAAATGCATTTCCCAACGTTAAAAAAAAAAGGTACCTTAACTGCTATAGGTACATGAAAACGTTCCTAGGAGACCATCCATAACGTTTTTGAGATATTGTGAACTGCATTAACAGATTTTGGAAAAAATTACAGTCAGCGAAGAAATGCTAAGATACCAAAAAACTTTTTTTTTAATGTCAATCGAACCTATTTCATGTAGAGATTTTTTATGAAATTTGTTAGTTTTTTACATTACTAATATTTTGATAGGATTTTTTATTTTTTAAGTAATAAACATGTTCTTATCAATCAGCCAGGTTAGTCAAGCCTTGTCTCCCTATACTATAAAATCTTATATTTGGCAGAGGTCATATTGAATAAATATGAATATCTTTTAAAATACATAATTTAAATTAAAAAATGAAAAATTCGAAATAAAAAAAAATTTTTTATCACAAAGCCACAGAAAAGTGCTAGCTCTCACACCAATGTTAATTATAATTTTGCTTATAAGAGCTACTAAAACATTCATGTTTTATAAAATGAGTCTCTTATAAATGTTCAAAGTTTCAAACTATCAGTTAAAACATTTAAAAAGTATATTTTTAATGAAACTTTATAAATATAATATTAAAATTAAACCCACCTAATACAAAACAGAATAAAAGTTAAAAATTAAAAGAAATATTTAAAAAAGGCAATGTGCATTTATTTTCAATAATAAATCCATGAAAACAGCCCTTGGCATTACATTACAAACAGCAATTAAGTTCAATAAGTCCATTACATATTAACACATCACATTATTCATCTTCCACCATTTCTACATCTTCGTCCTTTTTCTTCCCTGAAGCTAATTTCTTCGCTGTTACAGCTAATTTGTATTGTTCTAAAGCTTCTCTTAACGGTTCGACAAATCTATCGAATTCTATATCTGCCATCGCCTCTAGAACATCCTGGCCGGTTAAAGCTTTCCTCTTGTTATTTTTTACTATGTTTGTAGCCGCAGAGGTTACGTATAATACGAAAACTGAAGCCGCCTTTGCGAGACCAGTTCGGCCTTCTTTAGATATAGAAATACCTTCAGGTAACGCTTCTTTTACAATTCGTGTAACCACTGTTAATGGCAAATTTAGATCTTCAAGTTTTTCCGCCATTATTTACTAATTTTACTACAAAGTGTATTCAAAACATGTTAGATAAAAATAACCGCCAAATTATGTAGACAACAGCACTTTTCAGGTGCACACATATGCTACACAGTTAAAAAACTTTGGAAATTGACATTTGATAGATGTCATTACCGAATATTGACGTTTGCAGAAGGATTTTCAGTTGACTCTACAAGTGGCTACGTTCAATATATTATGGTATACCATAAAAAAAGATTTTCATAAATTAATGTTATTAAATATATTAATGCTTATTTTTATTACATTAAATTTAGAAACAGAAAAAATGCTAAGAAACAAAACGTTAAAAAAGGTTTTTAAAAACAAAAATATCATTGTTTCGTTAGATTGAATGATGAAGAATTTTGCCTTTTCCTCCCTCCAGATGTCGTGATCACTATTCATGATGCTACTATATATTGTAAAGCTATGTAGCGTGATTCGATTTATTTCATTTTATTAAAAATTCAATTCAAATGACTAATTGTGCAGAGTCAGGGTGCAAAGAAAATGGATATAATTTGTTCCTAAAAGACAAAACTGAAGAAATAAAGCCTTCGTTCTATCAATAATACTACTATTGTTACTAAAGCAATACGACGACGAATAATAAATTGGCGAAATCTTTATATTTAAGACTATTTTTTATCGTTTTATAAAGTGATTTTAAAACTGTTAAATCGTCTACAGGTGATTTTATTTTATTTTTTCTACTTTTTACATATTAATTACAGAGTTTCATACAAACTATCATCCTTCATTTTACCCCACCAAACCCCTTATGGGATTGAATTTTGAAAAATGCTAAAATTTGTATTATACTCAATTGAATATAATGCAATTGAATATAATTAAAATTGAAGAGCATTATTTATTTATAATAATATAAGATTAATACCACGTTTCAAGTAAAACTGATCATAAATAATTCTTTGCCCATATAAACTTTATTACCCCCTTTAACCACTTTAAGATATGAATTTTGAAAAAAATTCAATAAATATATTTCGTATTTTGTATCTTACGACCAGCGGCTTAGGCTGTGTGTTGATCAGTTAGTCAGGACCACGACAGGATGCATCTCTTCTCAATTCTTCCTTCAGGTTGTATAACTACAAGGTACTTCCAGGTACAATACATTGCACAGGTAAGATGCGAACACAATAGAAGCAAAAACCAGATACAAAAGAGATATCGTAATAAATTGTTTAACCTCAGGCTCTATCTATTATATAAGGACGCTACACGTATGATCACACGTGTAGCGCCCTTTGAAGACAAGATTACTGTGTTACTAATTCCATTTATTTCATCTTTATTCATTATTGAAAAAATAATAAACAGAAGAATTCTGTAACACTAAAAAGCTAAAAAACTAAAAAAATATATTAATTTCAAATTTGTAACTAGGTATATCGTTGCATTGCTTGCTTCTTTTCAGGGATACATAACCCAAAGGACAAGCAGGACAAAACATAAAATATAACTAGCGGCTCACCTCTAGAAATACACTAATAGAGATCTATTAGTTCCCACGGGAACCGTTCATTTTTCCGGGATGGAAGTATCTAAGATGTTGACCGGGGATAAAAGGTACCACCATGCAAAATTTCATTTGAATCGGTCCAACAGTTTCGGAGATTAGCCCGTACAAACATACAAACCGACAAACAAACATACAGGCAAACAGACAAAAATTTTAATAACTATTACGTTACAAACAAACAAAAAAAGATCTATCCCACGGAAGCAGTTCATTTTTCCGGGATGAAAAGTAACCTGTTGTTTGACCGGCAATATAAGGTATCAGCATGTCAAATTTTACTAAATTAGGTGCATAAGTTGTTGTGTACTAAGCTGTATAAGTTACTATAGTTTTTTAACTATCCCACGGGAACTCTTTAATTTTCCGGAATGAAAAGTATCTTACATGTTGACCGGGGGATATAAGCTACGACCATGCAAAATTTCATTTAATCGGTCCAATCGTTTCAAAATTTGAAAAAAAAAATAGATATGTTCTATTTGTCTTTTTACATCTCCCTGACTCGGTTTTTAGCATTTTTTTTTTGCTATGTACAGACATTCGACCTCTACTGTTTTATTATACTATAGATTTTTAATATATATCTAGTTGAAATATGAGGCCAAATGTTTTTCTATACTATATTATTGAGTACTTTCTTTTGTTTGTTTTGTTTACTTGTATCGAAAAAGCTCCGAAAACACTGGACCGAATTATATAAAATTTGGTAAGAAGATATATAATTTAAGACGATGGAAAGGACATAGAATAGTTTTTTTCCCGGAAATCATCCCTTAAGGGGGTGAAACGGAGATGAAAGTTTGTACATGGAATCATACCTAAGGACGAACCCGAGCGAAGCGAGGGTGAGTCGGTAGTGTACGATAAATTCGTTCGTTTGTTCCACTCTGTATGTTATTACTTCTCCCTGTATGATGTAAAAATGACACCATATGGAAATAGAACGTCCAACCACATAATTTGCAAATTTAACCGGATATTACTTCTAAATATACTTATAATCCATATACTAATAACTAATATTATAAATGTGAAAGTGTGTTTGTTTGTTCGTTTCTTTGTCTTTCTTTCACGTCGAAATGGAGTGATGGATTGGCGTGACTTTTGGTGTGAAAATAGTTGGAGAGAGCCTGGAGAGTGACATAGGCTACTTTTTATTGCGGGAGATCATGTCATTCGCACGGGAAAATACGTTATAATACAACCCAAAAAGTATTTATGATCAGAACTACTTGAAACTTGGAATGAATGCCCTTCAATACAATTTAATAAATACGTGTTTTAGAATTTTTCGAAATTCATCATATAAGGGGGGTAAATAAAATAGGGGATGAAAGTTTGTATGAAACCTAGTTTTTATACAGATTTTTTTGTAGTTTTAGGGCGAGCGAAGTCGCGGGTTCTGCTAGTCTTTTAAAAATCTTAATGTCGAAGGGAATTAATCAATGCAGTGAAGCTGCGATTGTAACCTCATAAAACAAAGTTTATAAACTAGGTTTAGGGTCGTTTTATTGCTCAGAATATAGGTGTAATACAATCTACTATGAGTTATATTAGTTTGATTCTTTGCTAATAAAATTTATTCATGCTTTTCTTGGCTTGTTTGAATGGTTTTCTAATGGATTATGGATATCGTAAAAATATATTTAATTACTCGATTTAAAAATATGTTTGATATAGATACATACGAGTATTCTGTAAGAATGATTACTTATTATTCTAATAATTTTAATTACATATTTTCCTATAAGTTGCACCATAGGTCATAGGTATCTTCATAAGCTTAAACGCTTCGCTTCAGAATAAAAATTTTAAAAATATATAAAACTAGCGGCTCACCCTCGCTTCGCTCGGGTTCGTCGCTAGGTACGTTTTAAATAGTTATAAATAGTTATTAGCCATATAAATAATTTTTTTGTTAATTTTTCTGACGTTTTAATACTTAGGTATTAACCTATTCCGGAATGAGAGAAATCCAAAAATTCAAATATCATAAAAATTGGTCCAGCCGTTCTTGAGTCTTGTATACGGGAACGCAGTCGAACGGGCTAAAAAGTATCCTATGTCCGTCTCCTGGTTCTAAGCTACCTCCCCACCAAGATTCAGCCAAATCGGTTCAGCCGTTCTTGAATTATAAATAGTGTAACTAACACGACTTTCTTTTATATATATAGACTAGCAGTCCTGACCGACGTCAGACGTTGTCCTGTCCAAACATATTAATAAATCTTCAATACTTGTGTCCTGTGCATATCGTAGAACCCGACTGTAGCGCCACTTACCGGGTACAATCGTGAATTTAAAACATCAAAAGACCCAAACAAAAACAAAATATTAAAGTCGGTCCAATCCATAGAGTATATTGCTACATATATAAAGTCCAATCGCTCAGTCGCATATAGTAAAACTATACCTATGTAAATAAAGATATATACGATATATCAGGGATGGTTTAAATATAAAAAAAATATAGGAAAAGCCCATAAGAACAGCTGGAAAATCGAAAAGTTCAGAACTGGTTATTTTGTATGGGAATCACTACTTCGGATTACTTTCAATAGTGGTGGACCTACCATCTACAACAATACATCAAGTTTAAGTAAGAAAATAATAATATATGTATATAACAGTATATATTCTATCTATTCTATACTAAATAATTTATACTCGTTAAAACGTACCTAGGGACGAACCCGAGCGAAGCAAGGGTGAGTCGCTAGCAATTTATAAGTTTCTTTAAATTATAAACACGTCCGACATGAAAATCAACAAAAAAATCTTTTGATATATTGTTACTATTTATTTTCATGGGGCCTCCCACAATTATAATTCGACCTGATATTTGGTTTTTGGTATCGTAATAAGCCTAAGATCTGAATATGGTGTAGCTCTTTTGAATTTTCAAATCACAAAGAGACTTCAATTCCATATTTTGTAACAATGTAATGTGTTTATAATATATAGAAGCGTGATTGGTTTTCTTTTAACGTTCTTAGTTAAAACTTAACATTAAAAATCCTTTATTAATCACAGCTGACCACTCAGTCACATCTTGTGTTTTTCATTGCGCAAACTCGATAAACGCGCCATTTTGAACGTGTAGTGATGTACTGTTGCAGTAACTCACGAATGACGATTAAAATCGAATAATTATATTTTCAAAAAACACTTTGAATACATATGAATTAAGTTATAATTTGGAAATAATACAGCTATCTTCGATTCAAACTAAACGAAACTACTAAGTATTTTCAAAATGCCTTAGTAGAAGTAACTACTTATTCCACCCGGGATTAACATTTCACGTGTGTCTTGTTCTGAAATTTATATGTTATATATTATTATAAATTTATATGGGTCACATATAAATTTATAATAATATATAACATATAAATAAAACTATCTTTTCGGATTATTTCGCGGATTTATTTTGATTTTT